CTTAAAGGCAAACATTTGCAGGCAAAGTGCCCAAGAAAGGGGTTTTTGAAACACCTGCCCTGAGTACAAGTAGTGGCTAATTATTAAAAATAAGGCACAAGCTTTCCTCTTGGTTGATGGGGTAGAGCTTGGCCGCCCTTAACAAAGGGGTGATGGATAGTTAGTCCACTAGAGGGCGAGGGTTAGTGATAAATTAAGTTCGGTTGCAATGGCTTTAACGCTCTGAGCAATACGGGGGGCGGCTTCTGTCGCTGAAGCGATCCAAAGTTCCAAAGCTGTTTCAAACCTAGAGTCGAATCGCTGCCAGCGCTATCAATGGCAGTGCCGAGATGGCGCTTGCATTGACCAAATGGAGCGCTGCAACCGCAAAGTCGAGTGTGCAGATGGGAGCGACGAGACGAATTGCACATTTTGCACGCAGGAGAGTTTCCGATGCAACAATGGTACCTGCGTGAAAATGAGCCAACGCTGCGACGGCATTGAGGACTGCCCGAACTCTGAGGATGAAGAGCATTGCGGTTAGTCCGAAACGCTTGTCTCTGTTTTCTCTCAATCTCTTTTCCAGTCGGCTGTTCTTCGATTGGTCCTACTTTTGCTTACTGTACAGTTTCTTCGGCTCATTTCTTCTTTTGTAGTGTCTTTGACTGATCTTGTTCTTCTCGTTTTGACAGTGCTGTTGTTCTTGTTTCGGGCCGTTTATGGGGCGATTTTTTCGCTTCAAATTTGCGCGATTTGGGTTTACAGGAGAATGTATTTTCATGGAAGCTTGTTACTTATGATTCAAAAAGGTTCAGGAATGAGGCGGTTTTCTCACGTTTTTCGGGGTGGAGAAGAGCGAAAGTCGCTTCGCATTTCAATTTTTCATTTTTGAGGAGATTCGGGGATGAAACCTCGTTACGTGAAGAGTGAGGAAAAGAAAACTCCCGATCTGGAAAAGCTCACAGACTTAAACTTTTAGAATTGAAAGACAATATATTGCGCTAAAGGTTTTCAAAGTTTCACGCAATTCCCGTTCACCGCTCAGTTTTGCAAAAGTGTCCAATTCGCGCTTAAAAAATCTCGGCTTAAGAAAAAAGACGGCTGAAAATGTCCACATTTTTCGAAAGATCTTTAAAGCCAATGCATACAAAAGTATCCCCAACTTTTTCGAATAATTGGATTTCGCCAATTTTTTTTAATGAATCACGCTTGTGTCTTAAAATTCATAATTCCGCCCCTGGACAGGACCAATTTATGAAATTCTCCAGATTTATAGAAGACACCTGTAGCTCACTACGAAAAAAGTTCAATTCGATTCTTATGAACCAGTAAATATGGAAAAAATTAGTCTGGAAACTTAATTTTCTTAAATCAAACATGTCTGTCTTAAAAAATTTACAGCTCCCTCCCTGGGCAAAACAAATTAGTGGAATTTTCCAGATTTATCCAAGAAATTTTGCGCTCACTGTATGCAAAGATTCATATAATTCCTGAATGCCCGTAAAATTTGCATCATTTTAAGTTACTTTCTGAAAAACTCACTTTTCTAATTGAAACAGCCTGGTTCTAAAAATTCATAACTGCGCCTCCGGACATGGCAAAAATGTGAAATGTGCACGATTTTTAGTAGATGCCTTATGCTTAATGCGCGAAAAGTTTTGTTCAATTCCTACCAGCGGTTTTTTTTTGATAAATGTTGAAAATCTTCCTGAAAAATTATGTTTCGGATGTCAAACATGGCGGTCTTTAAAAATTCGTAACTCCGCCCCTGAACAAGGCAAAGTTGTGAAATTTTCCCGATTTATAGAAAAGCCCTGTAGCTCACTACGAAAAAATCATTCGACTCTTATGAACCAGTAAATTGTAAAAAAAATTAGTCTGTAAAATTAATTTTCTTAAATCAAACATGCTTGTCTGAAAAAATTTACAACTCCGCCTCTGGGCAAATAAATTTGTGAAACTTTCCAGAAGTATCCAAGCAATTTTGCGGTCAATGTATGCAAAGATTCATATAATTCCTGAAAGCCCGTAAAATTTGCATAATTTTAAGTTACTTCCGCAAAAAC